CCCCCCCTCCTCCTCATAGAAATAGAGAAGAGCTCACCTGCTAAAAAATATGAAACAAAGGAATACATTTTCAATGATGTTGATTACAGCCACGCTGGTCCCAACAATTGCCACCAGTATAAATCTGAAACATCCGCTTTACGGCTTCGGAACTCACTCAAAGGAGTCTCCTCCAGAGCGTTGAAGCATTACCAATCATTCATCTCCAAGCTTTATCACTCAGGTAGAATTGATCCTACTGCTCTGAAACTCTGAGAAGACCTTGCATTTCGGCCCTATTGGTAACAAATCTCAAATCTAGCAGGAACCGAGGCGGCTCATTGTATAAACCACCTTCTCACAGTGGCTTCAGAATAGTTGTATGATTAGCTATGCTGTTTGCTCGGCCGGTGACAGGTGGTTTATCTAGAGAATCTGGACAATTTACGGTATTTCAGCTTCGAACTCGCGACTAGGAAGGTCCCACTTGATGCGGATTTGAGTGAATCTCACTAGTCTGGTAAAATTTTTCCATTGTCCTTGTCCATTTAGACTCTAAACGACGAAGAAGGAAAAGTCTCGCGAACTTTTCCACTAAATTGAAATTGAAGTTGTGAAATTTCCAGCCAAAAAGAGCAGCATCAGTTGCTTACAAACAGGTTCTCGCATAAATTAAATTACTATTATAGTTGCACTGAAAACATAAAAAGCTCCAAGTTAGTGTTCACGAGGCTACATGTAGGAATTTCTCTCATATATTGCCCCGACGACAAAGATAACGTCCANNACAAGATCGCAAAATTTGATGCTTAACGTAGCAAGGGGTTCATGGACAAAGGGAACTAGGGTTTGGCTGAAATCCAGCTCCTGAAAGAGATAACAGAATAGAAGAGTGAGGCCTCACCTTTCGTAGAGAAATCGTGGTTCTGCATAAGCACATGGATCGTCGTCAAGGTCCAAGTCAACGGAAACGTTCATCACGTCATTTCAATCAGAAAGCTCTGAACAGGCCCAATGTAACTGATTCTTTGTAAGTCTACACGAGTAGAGTTCGAGGCCATCAAATCAAAATGAAAGTTGGAAAATGATGAGGAGCAAAAAAATGAAAACAAGAAAAATTAGGAGGAAGCTGCGTCTGCTAAAAAATATTTCTAATGTAAGAGGAAAGGATGGATAAGATCAGGATCGATAGAGAAAGAAATGGAAGCAAATAACTTTGAACCACTTTACTCTATGTAGAGCACCCCGTAGGCTTCAAGGAGACACATTAATCCTGATAACTCACTGTTTTACTCTTGACCCATGGGAATTCTAACAATTCGCTTTTGTTTTCCGACCAGTCTCACCGAATTCCTCAAGCCTATTCTGAGCTCGAAGACATGTTGTTATTAGTGAAAGTAGTAAACTCGATTTGAAAAGCACTTATGAAATTGAATTCTATGGAAGCGAACAAAAACCTCATTTTTTATGCTTAGCTGATTCCAAAACAATGAGTTAAAAAGGATGAAGTAAAAAGCATTGGAGAAATGACAAATTCTGGCAAAAAGAAGTTTAAAATTGAAAGTTTTTTGAGATAAATAAAAAGTAAAAACAGCGGCGTCCAGAGAAAAACCCGAGGAATTCGTATTGCCAGGCGTAAGACAGAGATCAGGACTGTATTCACGGGGGTGTTTCTTTAATTAGAATAGAACATTTCCAGCCAAAACACTTCTTTTGTTCTTGTTTACCAAAGCTATTACGTAGAAACTCGTAAAAGTTTATTTTGCTGGTTGCCAAAGCGACTTGCATAGATGTATGGCTAATGGGTCTACAGGGAAGTATGCTCTGACCGTAGTAAGACCGTAACCCTATTGGATCAGGGTGCCCGGTGTCGTCTCCCCTTCATAGTCCAAGTTTTGAAGACCATTGGGGTCTGGGCGACTGAAAGATCATTTTCAGTGAAGTTCACCCTTCGAAGAAAGCAAGAAAGGGAGCCATGCCGAGTTTTGAAAAAAAAGGGATGCAACAGGTAAAGGGAGCCTACACAGCGAATTACTGTAACATCTTAGCTGGTAAGGCACCGTGAAAACCTTCAGAGTCGGTAGGAAGATAAAATCCAGACTGAAGAAGTCCCTTATGAGTGAACTACTCGGTATCGGGTTTTTGGGTAGAAAAACACCAACTGGAACATCGACTGGACTTCGTAGCCCAACGTGAGGTCAGTTGCACATGCAAGAGTTTCAATGATCCCGAAGGATGAGGTGAGGCCCATCTCATGAGGAAGCGATTCGACATCTGCTTACCTTCAAACTAAGATAGTATGGACCTTAAGGTGCCTATCCATCCCCTTCAGACGTATGAGCCTACTGTAGGTGGAAAGGTAGTTCGCCATAGCCGGACTCTGTGATCTGCCTAATACCTCAACATGCCCCTCTTTCTTTTATGGTAAAAACTTTTGTCAAAAAAGGCCTTCACTATGGCCGGGGGAAACAATTTTCCTGGAGTTCTTCCATCCGTGTTTCCTCCTTTTATGCTTCCATTAGCAGCTGCAAACGCCCGAGCCTTGAACCAGATATGTGGTTTGATTTGGGAGGTCTGGAGTCAAATACATATGTATAGCTAATAAATCACATGAGAAGTTCAGTTGCAGGCCGTTTTTGCTAGCGTGGTTGGAAACAGCCTTCACGCCTGAGCTCTTGATTTTGTTAATTTTCAAGTCCTCGATTCTTTGCAATAAAAATCTTTATTCCGAATATCCTGAACAGGCTTCAAAAGACCAAAATGATCTAATAAATTTTCTGCAAAGGTCTATTCGTCTTATTTTTGCTATGAAAATATTGGGAACATTTTATTGCTCTTTAAAGATTCGGTATCAACTCACGGTTTCTACAAAATGATCGTATTTGAAGTAATACCAAACAAATTAGGAGTTAGAAAATAACTGGTGGGCCTAGAGGAACCAACCTCATGTCGTCGAAAGTGTTAGAGTTGATTTCAGTAACCAGACATTCATGAGCTCCTTCCTATATGGCAAGGCCAAAGAATTGGAGCTCCTCCAGCTTTTTTAGCTGCAAGTTTGATAACCCCATGTAAATCTAGCCAATATCGGTGAGTCCAACTGGTAGCAATATAAAAAAGTGTAAGACTCGTCGAAGCCGTGTGTTAAATACGGCAAGCAGACAAATAAGCCCAACTAAACTCGCTGAACATTGAATGCGTACGGGTGTCGGATAAATTCAACTGAATGCTGTAGTATAATTGAAATATTTGATGCAAAAAGACTATTTCTTAATCAATCCTTAGCCTCACCGTTTTCCAACTGTGACATTTTCATGGAAATTTGAAAAAAATTTGAAGATTTTTCACCATTCGCTGTAAAACCTTAGAACCTAAGTCCGTGGCTTACCTCAGCAAGGTAGCACATCAGCTGATTTTGCAGGTACACTGTTTCGAGTAATAGATAGTGACAGGAGTTCCCCCTGGGTCATGCGCGAGGTGACCCAAGCTACGGTTTTAGGGGGTGTGCCAGGAAATACCAAAAGTTACAGCTAGTCGTCCGAAGGTGTGCCTTGTTATGCTCGTGTTGAAAGGCTGATTACCACTACGTTTTACTTAATTGTATTTGAGATGTTGCGAGTTCCAAATTGCAGACGCAAAACATTCCACCTAGCGGGACAAGCGAAGGGAATTTCCGAGCAAATGCCCTTTCTGTCCACACATATGGCCCCTGAGCAGGAAATTAAATGGATGTTGGAAGACTATTTCGAGAGCTACCTAATTAGCTAATAGTTCAGACCCATTCGTAAACTTGAATGTTTTAAATCGATCCCTACCCTTTCCTTCATCAAAATTGGCAATTTTACAGAAGCACTGACTGAAGTAAAGCAACCTGTAGAGCTATTTCCATTCCGTTCAGCTCCGATCAGAGTGCGTTCCAGACTCGATTCAAGGGAATCATCATGAACTTGACGACTACTTCGTTCTTCGTTCCCTTTTTTTCAGGAGCAGATAAGAGGGTTGCTATTTTCTTGGGCTAACTTATGAGACTGGACTTTATTTAAGTAACGGGTCCAGAGCGTATATTCATAGACAAAAACGCTAACTTGCAGAGAAGTCCTCAGTTAATCATAAATATTTCTGAGGTTCGCAACGTTAGTGAAGGGAATTTGAAATAAATATTTTCTGGCTCAGTGGCATTTTCTGGCATTCACTCACCCATTTCAGATCGTTTAGTCCCTTATGAAGCTGGACCAAATAATCTCCTCGACTGAACTCCCACTTTCTCGAGGTCCTTCCCAATTCACTCACTAGAGACCCTCACAAAATGGATGAGTTGACTCGAAGAGGAAAAGCGCAAAGGGCCAGGGCAGCTTGAACGGAATTGAGCCATCTTAACACTGTGCAATCACTCTCAATATGAGCAAATCCATCTGGGGTAAAGAGGGTGAAGAAAGCCGATAGAATGAAAAGCCCATATTTCTGAAGTGACAAAACTGTGCCGGATTCCCCATTGTGCATATGTAGTCCTGAGGGCTCTCAGACAGGTAGCTGAAAGTGCTAAGTTTGAGAAGCTCCTTGAAAATAGGCATTAATTCCCTTCTCTCCAGTCGTAAATGATCGGCCACAACTGAGGTTTTCATTTGTCTCTACTGGAAATGGGAAGCGAAAGTGAAAACATACCGTTCAGTAACTCCTGTAAGAACCAAATAGTAACTGTTATCTGGGAGGAACACTACTCCCCAAATATCCACGATAATTTAGCAATTCGCATAGAAAAAACTATTTTGATGTGATCCTGTTTCCCGACATATAAGTTTTATCACATACTGTTAGAGGCTCTGAAGTATAAACCCAATTTTGTATGTATGGAGACATCCAAGTAAAGTTAAATTGCTGATCCATAATAAAGGATATTAAAGGACAAAGTTTATGGCGTTGATCAATCCCGTCTGAGGGATGCGCCACCGCACTCGACTTCCATTCAGGATCGCAGTGGCGTAATGAGTGNGTGTGTGGCCTATACAATGACTTGCGGTGGCCAGCCGATGTACAAGTCAGTGCTTTTATCCTCCCAGACGAGTCTCTTACCAATTAACCCACCCCGTAGGGATGGAGGGCTTGGTTGGCCCAGGCGGGCATTGATCCGAGATTCGAGCACTCGACCGTGCGTGTGATATAGTGCGCCACTTACCACTACATCACCTCCGCCCCTATCGCTGATCCATAATGAAAGTAAAGTAAAGGTGATGGAAAGAAGGAGAAGTAGGGGTAGGAAAGAGAACTATAAAAAATTAGGCCAATCCACTTGAAAGGAAGACGGCTTGTGATGTTTTCGTAAAGTTAAACATCGTAGAAACGAAGTTGGTCTTAAAATAACCATTGCCCCACCTCTTCTCCTGCCCCGCCCAATCATTAGATTAAAGCAAAAGCATGTTTTTCTATAGAATGTGATATCGTAGAATTATACGTAATCTGTTGCTGGGACATGGGATTATTATGAATTCTATGAAAACACAGAAGCTTTGAATTGGCTAGAAGCCCTCCTAGCTCCTGGCTTCTTCCTACATGCTTTGAAAGAATACCAATCAAGAAAAATGGCGCAACTCAGAAGTTCCACTGCCCCCACTCAATGGACAGTGTGTCTGTGGGACTATTACTCTCCAACTTCCTGTTTTTCGAGAAAAAATGAAAATTATTTCCGAATTGATGAGTGTACTATTAGGAAAAAAAGGCAGGAGGAAGTCGAGTTTATAAAGATTTCAGGGGAATCTCAGAAGGACATCTCAGATTGCAGGAAATTCCTTTGACGATAATCCAAGGAACATCTGGGAAGGGTAGGCTGTAAGTGGTTGTAAGTGTAGCAGCGAGCAGCAGCGGAACAGAGGAATGGAGGAAGTGAACTCAGAGGCTATTCCATGCACTGGGCAGTAATTGTCGCCTTTGAGTTCATTTAATCTTAATGAGTACATTACATTACCGTATCCGATTATCACAAAATA